GAATAGCAATCAGAGCTTTCTTGCAAGAGAGCATCCATGCAGTCTGGATGCTCTCTTGTGCAAAAATACATCACTTTTGTGATGTTCTTTTGTAGTGTGGACGCATTCTTGCACAAGAAGTTTTTGCGGAAGATCTCTTCTGCAAAAAGCTTCTTGTGCGAGAAGCTTGAAGTCTAGACGTTGTCATTTTTTTTTTTACTTATCTCTTTTCTAATGATTCTCAACATTGTTTGCTTTTTTTGCAGGCCGCTGCCAATTGAGTGGATGTTTCCAAAGAACTATCCACAATGACCCTAAGGTCTCTTTCTTGAGTGCCGATAGCTAATTTAGGCCCATCTCTCCCTATACGAGTAGATGGCATTAGGTTTTCCAAAACACATTACTTTGCATTTAGCAACATTACATTTCATCAGCCATTTTGTGGCCTCTTTGCTATCTTTTTGGGATTAATATCTTGAGCAGTTCTGTATCTGCAAAGTTTTCCACCTGTTTACTTCTTTTCCCAGATCACTTATGTCTAAGCTGTATCTATCCACTTTGATAGCCATTGGCTTCTTCTAACCAGGGGCAGGCAATAGTTTTTGCCCGGGGGCCACTCCAGAATTTTTTGAAGAAACCCTGGGCCACCATGATTGGTCTGGGGGTGGGGGAGCCCCTTTGCCTCCCCTTCCCACTAGGCATCCATGCCCTGAAAGAGACTTGGCACGCTCCCCCAGCCCCAGGCCAATCAGGGCCTAGGGGCGGGGGAGCACAGGAAGTCTCTTTGCAGAGCTGGGGCAGGGAAAAGGAAGCTTCACACAGCTCCCCTGCCCGATTGGCCTGGGGGTGGGCGAGTACGAGAAGCCTCCTCCGCTCTCCCACCCACCCTGCCACTTCAAAGCGCCATGTGCTCCTGATAGGGCAGAATGAGGCTTCCCGTGCTCCCCTGCCCCCAAACCCTGATTGGCCCGGGGCCTGCGGAGGCTGGATCCGGCCTGTGGAGGCCCTTTTGCCCACCTGTTCTAACCCTTGCCTAGGACTAGAAGTGTTGGCAATTCACTGCCGTTCAGGCTGGGTAAATCTGATGAAAAGTAATTCAAGATGAAGCTAGTTACCTAATTTGGCCGGTGTTAATACAGATCCAGGTAGTCGAATTTCTCTAGTATCAGTAGATTTGGGCTAATGAGAATTCACACCACTTACAGAGCGGAGACAATGTAACAAGCATCACTCAAAGCAGCAGCCTTCTCTTTAATATTAATCAAACCACCAACAAATTCTGCCCAACTACATCATTTAAAATATGTACAATTTCAAAAGAATATTACAACTATTTTAGGAAAATATAGCATATTTTTCTATGATACAAAAAACATGCATCTTTACAAAGTCATTGCTTTTGAGGATCACACAGGTGAAACAGAAAAGGAAACATGTTCCTTGGCAGTATGAGAGCTGGGTGATGTGCTCAGATCCTGGGAGGATCACACAGGGTTGGTTTGATTGTTTTAGACCCAGACCCGTCTTGAGACGGTTACAGAACTCGAGCACATCCCAGGAGGAAAGGTTTGAAACGTGATTTTTAAATGTCTTTGTTTCTGAGATCCAGATTTGGCTAGTAACAGCCAGTTAGCTTCAGAGGGACTCAATGTTTAAAAACAGGATACAAAAGGGAAACACAAAGGTCTTATGTCAGTGAATCTTTACCCAATGTTTTTTAATGTAGTGCCCCTAGAAGCAAAGAACTGAACTTAGACTGTAAATGTAAGTTTCCTTGTCACAGCTCTGCCACTGCACCTCATCCCCATGGTGCCAAAACTCTTGTCAATGAACCCAGAATTCTAGAGTTTGTGCACCTACTTTCTAGGTCCCACTTAGTCCTGGTACCCTCTAGAGTTCCAGAGAAAACAATGCATTAAACACACAACCAAGCCAGCTTTAAAGAACAGGGCGGGACAACACAGTGTTTAGAGAGGCAAGGTCTTTCAGCTGTTCCTGGGTAACTGGTACTAGTGGAAGTCTAAGGATGAGACTGGACTGGTTTGCATGATCTGGGAATCATAACACCTATGCAGGGCTGGTGTGGAGTTCTGTAATTATGCACCTATAGTCAGGAGAACACAGGACCCCTAAAAAGTAAGGCAAACATATATATTTTTATAAATAAAATACAATAAGAGGAACACTTAAAACAGTGTTATTCAATATAAATAAAACAGTCCATGATGAGGTCTGCTAACCTGGCAGATTACAACAAATCTCTTCCTTGAGAAAACCCACCCCCAAAATCTGATTATCAAAGCAGGTTATGACCCAAGGTTTCATAGGAACCTGCCTTGATTTCCTGCTCCGAACTACCAAACTTGACTGCAGAGTTCCCTGAATCTCTACATCAAAGCATGTAATACGCTAGATCTCCAACCGGGCAACTTTCATAACGAAACAAGACTGGCCCTTGCCTCAGCAGATCACACTCAATGGCAGGAACCTGCCTTCCTTAGAGGCTAATTAGGTCTCACAACATGCAGATTAAATCCATCACATATACCTGCACATCAACAGGCACAGAGAACTCATGTGCACCTCTGGTGCAGCCTCCTTCCCCATCCACCACACAAAAGCAACTAGTACTAACTAGTTCCCTACTGCAATAAACTCTTGCATAGTGACCCAGATCAAACCCTGTAAGTTCTTATGGAAGGGTTGTATTTATAAAATATATATCCTATATTATACATCATATTTTCACACTGTATATACACGTGCCACATTTGACATTTGTTGCAATAGTTAGAAAAGCACAGAGCTAGTCTTTGTGATGCACATCTCTTACTCAGTGTTGTACAGTAGGACCTCAGAGTTACAACCTGGGGAATGGAGGGTGTTTGTAACTGTGAACATAACATTAGGGTTATTCTTTCAAAAGTTCACAACTGAATACTGACTTAATAAAGCTTCAAAGCGTTACTATGCAGAAGAAAATGCTTTTTAGCAGTGTATGTCTAACACAGTACTCTACTGTATTTGCATCTGCTGCTGCCTGTGTACTTCCGGTTCCAAATGAAGTAAGGGGCTGGCTGATCAGTTTCACTCTGGTGTTTGCAACTCTGAGGTTCCACTGAACATTGCACCTGTAGCCACCACCTGGTTTCTTCCGTAAGGGGTTTGCGATTAAAATAGGGCCAATTTGCTTCACACACACATCCCCGGGGTGTTTCTTGCTCTAGCTAGGAAAAATTCCATTCAAAGGAGGCTGCACATGGTTCGCCTCAGGGCAGCTGTAATTGTGATTTATGTGCCTCCCTCCTTGTGTTACAGGCTCTGATTTTTGAATAGAGTGTTTTATAAGTGCAAGTGTTTTATTTACTATGATTAAATTGGAAAAATCGTGCAGTTAACATTGCAACACCCACATCAGGCTCCAGCTGCTATTTCTAAGATATGGGCAGATTTCTTCATGCACAGCCATTGTGTGAGCTGCGGTTTGTTGGACACGGTGGTCTCATTTAACAGGCAAAGAGCAATGCTACAGAAGAGAGCGCTTTCCCTTTTTCTCAAACCATGGAGTAAAAATCTCATTCAACCTCGCCAGTCTCTGGCAGATCCATCGCAAAGGACTGAATTTTACCATCATTGAGCAAACAAGCAGGTCAAAGATGTCATTACATGTTTGTTTTAACCTTCTGTGCATCTTGGACTATCCTCTTCTAGGGATGTGAGCCTCCCCACAGGTCTGCCTGTGCTAAGCAGGGCTAGGGTCTCCAGTGGGGAGCTGCCTTTGCTACTGAGTATTTTAGGAAAGGACAAGCCACTGGCCATCCTATTGGAACAGATCTATGCTGAAGCAACTGGAAATTAAGCAAGTGGGTTTAGTGGCAGCTGTGCACTAACATGCTGTTGAGACTGAAGCAATTGGGCATTTCAGAGTGAAAGTTCACTTCCCCCTGCCTGCCTCAGCCCCATCTGCTCCCATGGAAAAGGCTGCATGCACGAGCAGGTGTAAGACGAAAACTCAGCCCATCTTACATGCCACTTAAAATATGCACAAGAATGCAAAACCACTTGCTACTATGAGACTCAGTACCACTAACTGTCACCAATTCAGCAGCCTTTGGTTTGAGTGTCTTCACCACGAATAACTGATATGGCCTCTCTGAGTTACGAATGAGTTACGGACCAAACACTTGGCCGTAACTCGATCCGTTCGTAACTCGGACCCCACTGAGTTACACGCGACCGCACTGTTCGTAAGTGCGGGTCACGTTCGTAACTTGGGGATCATCTTTACGACCGCTCCATGGGAGCTTTGGTCGTAAGTGCGAATGGTCGTAACTCGACCGTTCGCAACTCGGGGAGCGGCTGTACATGCACAGACATTGCCATTTGCTGGCGAGGTTGGATAAACAATGCTTAGAGCGGCTGTTCTCAGATTTCTCATGTAGCTTATGTTTTACATGGCTGGCCCACAGGTCACAGGAATACTGTCAATTCCCTGATTAGATGACTAACCTTGTGGAAAGAATGTTCAGACAAATCCGGCTGGAGGCTATGAAAGTTTTGGAGTTGCGACATTTCTCTGAACAGGAGGGGCTGTCCAATACTTGCAGATAACTTAAAATACAACAACAAATATCCAACTGAAGGCTAGGCACCCGCTCCCCAACCATAGGTACTACTATTCGACTAGCTGTACGATTTGTATAAAAAGAGCAGCTGGAGTTCCTTATGTTGGGGTTCCCTTATCAAATCTCTTCCCATAAAGAAATCTGAAAACAACAGTATCTGAATGTAGTCAGGGAAATTAGCTGTAAAGATATTGCAACAAACACTGACAGAGCCGCTCTCTAGGGTGGCTGCAATCTGCTGTGGACTTCAGAATTGCTCACATTGGAGCCATGCTAATAAGTCTGCCTGCTCAACATGCATGCTGCTCTGCAGACGTACTTCTCATAATGGTAACGGCAATGGAAAACATACAACATATTTCCCATCCTTGCTCTTTATAATATTACAAAACTTTACAGGTAACCAGGCTAGTCCCACAGTGTGTGGAAAATACAAAGGAATTTCTCAAGGCATAAATAATAGAAAAAGCAAACATTTTACATCAGATACATTCATGACACTACTACAAAAAATAAATAACAACTCTCTCTCTTATAATTAACCCCCCTCCAGCAGTCCTTGTCAGGGGCTCTGCTGTGCAGTTACTGGCTTTCAGTGGGAAAATGGTCACTGTTTCTTCAGGTTTCCTGTATCTGAAGCTGTCGAAGGTCCCCGGAGCTGCTTAAAGTGACCCCAGGTGAATTCCATCCTGATTTTTCAGTACAGTCCTTTGAAACAGACTGCAGAATGAGAGGACTCCAGCTCAAAATAGGATTTGATGTTTCTGAATGTGCACAGATGTCACCTGCAAACCAAGGGCAGATTTCATTAGCATGAAACCTCTGCTTGCTGCTTCACTATTTCAGTCCACTTGCCCCACCAGTCTCCAATCACAGATTAGCAAACTGGATAAAACCTACAAGTGATAATCAGTTTGGATTCTGCATGGTGTTAAACTCTGCCCACAACTGCCAATTTCATAGGGCAACATTTCTCATGATAAATGTCGCAGTTCTCTAGGCCTTTTACTAATGTACTTTATTATCACCTCAGTTTGGATTCTGCATGGTGTTAAACTCTGCCCACAACTGCCAATTTCATAGGGCAACATTTCTCATGATAAATGTCGCAGTTCTCTAGGCCTTTTAGTAATGTACTTCATTATCACCACCATTAGTGATCACATTCTTTGCTACCTAGACACATTAAGGGAAAATGGAAAACTACTTCTGAGCTAACCACCACCCAGATACACTGAGCCTCCCAAAGCCAAAGGTTTCACTGCTGTGCATCAGGGACTTGGAACAGGCCTGACAAACTTTTCACTGCTGGCACATCATTTGTATGGCATTGACCATAAATGAGGTCATAAGAAAAAGATATGTCATACTGACCTAATAATTATTGCCTGGTGTATGCATGTATAGGGACCAAATATATAGATATTTTAAAGTCTGCCACCAACCAAAGAGAAAAAAGTTTCTTTCAGACAGAAGTAAGATGTGTAACTGTAAGCCAACCCAATGGAAGACCCTTCCCTTTTACTTACACACACACACACACACACACACACACACACACACGATCAACATGAAAAGAAAAAGAGCAATAAGAGAGGAGGAGACAACGAGGGATGTACAGTGGCAAGGAGACGCGCTTTTCTCCTGCATCTGAGGAAGTAAACTGACATGAAACAATCTCAAATCAGCCTGGGCTGAAACACTGCCAAAGACATCTGGGGTGAGACAAAGACCCTTGGAGAGAAGGTCTGACTGTTAGTTTCTCGAAAGCATGCTATGATTTTGTTTTATATATAACCCTTCTCTTGCCGTTATCCTTACCCACGGCCTTGACATCGAAATCTTTGCTAATAAACTTAGGATTGTTTTCATTATAAATACATCTCAGTGCTGTGATGTTACATAGGCGCTAACCCTGACCGGAATCATGTAAGCTGGTGCATACACTGTTTCCATAGGGATAGCTAGCCTGGGAATGCTGTGACTGAACACTACAGGAGAACACTTCAAAGGGCTTGGGTACACTGACTGTTAACCTGCACAACAAACAAAAGGTCACTATAGCTCAGAGGAGACTGTTTCACAGAAGAAAAGGCAAAATGATGATACGGGAAGGAACTGCCTGGACCTTCCATCATCCCTTCTCTTTAGCCCCTCTCTAAAGACCATGTTGGTACAACTGTGTCTTTTCAGATGGAGAGCTCAAAGGCTATCTTATCTGGCCAGCCAGGAGCTCTAAAGGCATGCGTGATGGTTCAGCTCTTGCTGCCCCCAACAGCAAGAACGTTTATTTCTGAATTCCAATGTCCCCACTTGGTGCATCCCTGGCTAACTCTGAATTAACACCACTACCTGGACTTTCCCTAGGTCTACTATGTAATTGCTCTGCCAGTATTAGAAGCCCTGGCCCAGTCAAAGAACTGTGATTTGATTGGAATAACGGAGACTTGGTGGCATGACTGGAGGCATATAAACTGTTCAGGAAGAACAGGCGGGGGAGAAAAGGAGGAGGAGTTGCACTGTATGTAAGAGAGCAGTAGGATTGCTCAGAACTCCAGTATATAGAGGGAGAAAAGCCTGTTGAGAGTCTATGGGTTAAGTTTAGAGGTGGAAGCAACAGGGGTGATGTTGTGGTTGGTGTGTGCTATAGACTGCCGGATCAGGTGGATGAGGTGGATGAGGCTTTCTTCAAACAACTAGGAGAAGCTTCCAGGTCATAGGCCCTGGTTCTTATGGGCGACTTTAATCACCCTGACATCTGTTGGGAGACCAATACAGCAGCACACAGACAATCCAGGAAGTTTTTGGAGAATGCTGGGGATAACTTCTTGGTACATGTGCTGAAGGAACTTGACCTGCTGCTCACAAACAGGGAGGAACTAGTAGGGGAAGTAGAGGTGGGTGACAACCTGGGAAGCAGGGATCATGAGATGGTCAATTTCAGGATCCTGACCAAAGGAAGAAAGGAGAGTAGTAAAATACACATCTTGGACTTCAGAAGAGCAGACTGACTCCCTCAGAGAACTGATGGGCAGGATCCCCTGGGATGCTAACATGAAAGGGAAAGGAGTCCAGGAGAACTGGCAGTATTTTAAAGAAGCCTTATTAAAGGCACAGGAAGAAACCATCCCGATGCGCAGTAAGAATAGCAAATATGGTAGGTGACCAGATTGGCTTACAGGGGACATCCTTGGTGAGCTTAAACACAAAAAGCTTACAAGAAGAGGAGACTTGGACAGATGACCAGGGAGGAGTATAAATATATTGCTCGAGAATGCAGGGGAGTTATCAGGAAGGCAAAAGTGCAATTGGAATTGCAGCTAGCAAGGGATGTGAAAGGTAACAAGAAAGGTTTCTACAGGTATGTTAGCAATAAGAGGGTGATCAGAGAGGGTGTTGAAGGTAACCTTGTGACAGAAGATGTGGGAAAAGCTGAAGTACTCAAAGCTTTCTTTGCCTCTGTCTTCACGGACAAGGTCAGCTCCCAGACTACTGCACTGGGCAACACAGTATGGGAAGGAGGTGGGCAGCCCTCGGTGGAGAAAGAACAGGTTAGGAACTATTTAGAAAAGCTAAACATTCACAAATCCATGGACCAGGATTTAATGCAGCCGACGGCACTGAGGGCAAATGTCATTGCAGAGCCTTTGGCCATTATCTTTGAAAACTCGTGGAGATCGGGAGAGATCCTGGGTGACTGGAAAAAGGCGAATGTAGTGGCCATCTTTAAAAAAGGGAAGGAGGACAATCCAGGGAACTACAGACCAGTCAGCCTTACTTCACTCCCCGGAAAAATCATGAAGAGGATCCTCAAGGAATCAATTTTGAAGCACTTGGAAGAGGAGAAGTGATCAGGAATAGTCAACAGGGATTCACCAAGGGCAAGTCGTGCGTGACCAATCTGATTAGCTTCTATGATGAGGTAACTGGCTCTGTGGACATGGGACAGTGGATGTGAGATACTTTGACTTTAGTAAAGCTTTTGATATGGTCTCCCACAATATTCTTGCCAGCAAGTTAAGGAAATATGGGTGGGAGAAATGGACTGTAAGGTGGATAGAAAGCTGCCTAGACTGTCGAGCCCAATGGGTAGTGATTAACGGCTCGATGTCAGGTTGGCAGTCTGTTTCTAGTGGAGTGCCCGAAGGATTGGTTATAGGGCCAGTTTTGTTCAACACTTTTATTAATGTCCTGGATGAGGGGATGGATTGCACCCTCAGCAAGTTTGCAGATGACACTAAGCTAGGGGGAGAGGTAGATATGCTGGAGGGCCGGGATGGGGTCCAGAGTGACCTGGACAGATTAGAGGATTGGGCCAAAAGTAATCTGATGAGGTTCAACAAGGCCAAAGCATTGTTACAGGCTGGGGACCAACTAGCTAAGCAGCAGTTCTGCAGAAAAGGACCTGGGGATGGACAGTTAGAGGAGAAGCTAAATATAGGTCAACCGTGTGCTCTTGTAGCCAAGAAGGTGAATGGCATATTAGGGTGCATGAGGAGGAGCATTGCCAGCAGATCTAGAGAAGTGATTATTTCCCCTTTATTCGGCACTAGGAGGCCACATCTGGAGTATTGTGTCCAGTTCTGGGCCTCCCACTATAGAAAGGATGTGGACGCATTGGAGAGGGTTCAGTGGAGGGCGACCAAAATGATTAGGGGGCTGGAGTGCATGACTTATGAGGAGAGGCTGAGGGATTTGGGTTTGTTTAGTCTGCAGAAGAGAAGAGTGAGGGGGGATTTGAGAGCAGCCTTCAACTTCCTGAAGGGAGGTTCCAAAGAGGATGGAGAGAGGCTGTTCTCAGTGGTGACTGATGGCAGAACAAGGAGCAATGGGCTCAAGCTGCAGTGGGGGAGGTCTAAGTTGGATATTAGGAAAAATTATTTCACTAGGAGAGTGGTGAAGCACTGGGATGGGTTACCTAGGGATGTGGTGGAATCTTCATCCCTAGAGGGTTTTACATCTCGGCTTAACGAAACTCTGGCTGGGTTGACTGAGTTGGGTTAGTCCTGCTTTGGGCAGGGGACTGGACTTGAATGACTCCTGAGGTCTCTTCCAGCTCTATGGTTCTATGATTCTTAGAACAAGAGATGTGATAAGATCAAAGTTCAAGCTGGTACTGCCAAATACGGATTTATTTTGACCACTTCATTTTAAATAGTCACCACATCATCTGGAATAAGTATATGGAGGGGTTCTGTTTAGAAACACTCAGCAATTAGGGCATGCTCCTTGCAAGGCATTTTATTATCTTGACTTCCATAGTCTCCACCTCCATCTTGACCTCCATAGTCTCCACCTGAACACCTTGCAGTCTCTGGCCATCCTTTTCTGAGACTAATTACTAGTTTCTGTGGAGTCAGATTAAACACCTTACAGCTAAGTGTACAGCTGTTGTATAACACACACAGAGTTTAGAAGTCAAGATTTATTCTCCCCCAATTTTGGTATACCTTCTGGGTAATCTGTGTTAATCCGATTCATATTTTCCTGACAGCAAGAATGCTGAGCAGATGGCTGCTCCACTTTCTCCTTGTGCTCCTTCTCCATCTTGACGCTGCATTCTGGGACTGCGGAGGCTAAACACATGGCTACCATCACATGATTCAATGGTTTCATCTCTAAATTGTCTTGCTGATAAGGTGCTACTATGGGCATCACAGGTAGTGTGTTGCTGCTGCTAAAAGTGCCATTGGTTTTGGTGAAACACCTGTGAATTTAAACCAAAACAGAGAATCACTCACATAGTCTTGAGCCTTCAAAAATTTGTGTTCTTAAATTACTCTAAATTGCTAGAAGTTTTTAAATACTTCAAGTCCATGTTTCTCAAACTGTGGGTCCCGACGCTCCGGGGGGGTCACGAGCAACTTAGGGGGGGGGGGGCGCGGTATCACAAAGTTTGAGAACCCCTGCTTCAAGTGAATCTCAGTTATTTAATACAGTAAATACAGGAGAGCTGGTAGAATAAATTACAATTATTCTATCAGATAAATTCAAACCTTTTGGAAAAAATATATTCACAATTAAATACTTGTTTGCCCAGCTCACCAGATGGCTGAAGAACAGCGAATCATTTATTTAGCATTTTTCCATCTATTGTCAATTAAGTGACTAGCAAACACATTCCTTCATTCGGCCAGCTCTGTACTACAGATTCTAAATGCCATGACACAGGGCTTAAGTTACAAACCCAACAAGCAAAGAGAGCAGCTCATGTTAAAAATAGACACTGCTGAGCTAGAGAATGTAAACAGAGGAACTAGACAATTGAAGGCAGCATTTTAAAGGTAAAATTTATTTTTTCAATTTCTGCAAAAAATAGTATCAATGACCCTCCTTCTGGGCTATGCAACTGAGGGCAAGCTGGGCAGCCCATCTCTATAGCTGAGCTACTTAGCCCTTACTCAGAAAGAGTCTACAGCAGACACCCTTTAGAGCGATTCCCAGCATGACCTCATCCTATGCAGTGAAAATGCCAAGAATGCTGTGCTCCTCAAGTGCTGGGCACAGCAGGGCTAGCAGCTTCATCTGCAGCAGCCACAATAAATGTACAAGGCCAGAAGACGCCCCTCCACTGAGATTGCAGATGCACAAGGACGAGTTAGGCAGCTCAAACGTCCATCTTTAAAACAGGCACGTGACTTGGAATTCTCTGAAATAAGCTGCAGAAGCTGTAGGAGGAGGGCATCCTTTGTTCTGAAAACCCCAAAACCTCACTACCAGTCATTCACTTTCCACACACCCCGGCAGTCAACAGGAACTTACTCTGTAGAATTCAGTTACTAAGGCGACAAAACAGGGATTGTGACATCACAACAGCCACATGAAAACAAGAGAGCGGCAGGCCGATTACAAAGAGTGTATATGTTTATGCACCATTTCCTTGGCCATAGCATTACAGGTGGAACCTCTCTAATCTGGGACTCGCTGGTCTGGCAGGAGCATAAATGTTGCTGGACCAGAGGGTTCCAGGGGAGGGCTGGGAGCCAGGTGCACCACAGTGGGGCTGCCTGGCAGGGCTGGCAGGTCAGCAGGGCTGTCGGCTGCGAAAGGGGCTGGTCCAGCAAAATCCCTCATCCAGGACTGATCAGGTCCCATGGGTACCAGACCACGGAGGTCCAGCCTGTGTTTGGAAGTGTGCATGAGAGTCACACAGATTATCCAGTGAAATGCCAAATGGATACAGCTCACAACAATTTCTACCGCCCACCTTAGAAGTTCCACCCTTCCTGCTATGCGCCCCATGCACCGGGCCAGCCTCTCTCATGTCAGATATTTGTATAGCACTGTCATTACGCAGCCTACACACTGCCATGCTGCGCTAGACCCAGTCGCTACACACAATTCCATGGGAAGCCGATTTGTAGCACGATGTATTTAACATAGTAAAATATCCTTTCACTGATGGAAAGAAAAATGGTTAAACAAGTGGCTACTTCGAGCCAAGAGCACAGGTGACCAAAATAACCGTGTCCTACATACTGGACAGACCTAGCCCATATGCAATTGGAAGCATGAGTTTCACAATGCTGGCCTACCACATCACATCTGAGTGCAAGAAGGAATTGCTGGGGGGGCAACATGGCACAAACATGCCCACAACTTGGAGAACTGCTAGGCTGTGCCCTATGAAACAGGGCTCCTTCAGCTGCTGTGTTACTTGTTTGATGGAGGGGAAAAAAGCTCAGCTGGAGTAGTTCAGGCCCAAACCATTTATTCTCACTCATTTTAAACAAACAATATAAACAAAGGACTTAGTGTATTCTGCCACACACAAATCTGAGCTCCTGGTGAGAGAACTTGTTGCATAGGTTGTTGTGTACAAAATAGGCAGTAAACAGAAGAGACCCATTTTAACCACCGGTAAAGTAGGAAAATGCCTTAAGGTTTATTCAGGCCACTAGTCCAACTAGTGAAACATTCTTCATACCCCTTTAGAAGGATGAACATTTCTGCCTATGCAGTCACGGTCTTGTATTGCACTGCATAGGACAGTGACATTGGAAGAAACCAGTATGTTACTTGAAGTCAGAACTGTCCTATTACCAAGTCTCATTTGGCAGTGGGAATTGCAAGATGTTCTCGCTGTGTTTTCTTCAATGCTCATGTCAGCCTGGACAGCTTGCATGTGAGAACTGGCTACAGGTTTGTGTGTTATTTGGCATTCCATGGATTGCTGAACTTTCAGTATTCAGAGCTGATTCTGTGCATTAGGAAGATCAGTGACTATTTTGAGACATCTGCATCTAGTTAACTGAACCCATGCTATTCTAGTTTTGCAGAGCATGCAATTCAGAAAAGTTAAATGGGTCAGTCACTCTGGCATGTGATCATTAGACTGCAAGGAAAGATGGAAGACTATTATATGAGCTATTTTGGGAGACCTGAACAATGACACACAATTCAGAAGTGCCGCCGAACTCCCCTCCCCCACCTCCGTACTGGTAACTGACCCTTTAACAGAATTCACTCTAATTAATGGGAAGTTAATATATTCAAATTCATAATTTCTATGCAAGGCAACTGCCAAGTCCTATTTAGATTCCCCCAAACTATTTCCATCAGGCCATTCTGATTAGGGATGTAAAAACAATTAAAAATACTAATTGTGTAGCCGATTACAGTTCCAGCAGCTACACAGTTAAATGGGCTGCCAGGCTAGCAGTATTTTAACTGTTAAGCTGATGCTTATTGGTTCCAGTTATCAATGAACTTATCTGTGGCTTTGTAGTAAGCATACTAGCTAGGAATCAAGACAACGTGCTTACTGCTCATCTCTTCCACGCCGTGTTTATATAGCTCTGTACTTCACAACCCTTATGTCTAAGGAGGCTAGACTGACCCCACCCCTCTTCCCCCCAATTTACAAATAAAGTAACAGAAGTTGCACAAAATCACTTGTAGCAGAGCTACCCTGTCACTTTAGAATCCATCTGCACAATCTGATGTACGTGACAATGCTGTCTGTCTACTAGACCATTCTTCCATCCCAGAGCCCGGAATACAATTCCTAACTTCTAATCGCTAGAAATGAGGCAATCCAAATTCCAACCATTTTACTACTGTCTAGCAAATAGTTGTGTAACCTGTTGGCCAAATGTAGGTCACGCTCCTCTCAAACCGAAGGTCCACACAGAGGACAATTCAGGTCACGTTTCACACAGTCGTGTATGGACTGGGGAACTGACAGCCCAGGGTTCAAATGTTGCTGATGAAATGTGGGGACTCTACCTACGTAATAACCAGTGAAGGTGCTAACAGCTCCGAGTGGTATTCTTCCTGTCTTATGAATCTGTCTATCTATTGACTTTGAATTTTATCTGCTTAGGTTTAAGTACCCATTCTCCGGATACTTAATGATGCTGTGTCTCCCGCTCCCCTCCCTTTTTATTTCTCTTCCCTCCCCCCTTCCTGTCTCCTATTTCCAGTTTTTATATCCCCAATTCATAACTCTCGTCATCTGAAGAAGTGGGCTGTGCCCACGAAAGCTCATGATCCCATCTACATGTTTCGATAGTCTATAAAGTGCTATCAGACCATTGGTTGTTTCTTTCTGTAACAGACTAACTCGGCTACCTCCTGAAGCTTGTGTAACCATAGGATTGCCTCATATCACAGAATTCCTAATTTGCCAATTTCCTTTTCAAAAAATGCGACAAGAATTTCCAGTTAGCCAATATGCTCAAAACCAAGAAAAAAATCTGTCCGTTAAAGTGCAATGAACAAAAATATGTTTCACACTATGGCCATCTGTCACACGTCAATAGCTTGTGTCACAAATAGACAGGCTTGACAGTTAAGAAGTTTGGTAGCTTTCAGGCATGTCTGCACTGCAGTGGGAGGTACAATTCTCAGCTCGGGTGGATGAACCCATACTAGATCTCTTGAGCCAGCCTGCTAATAGCAGTTGTGTGGCAAAGCATGGGCTAGCTACTTACGTACCTAGGATCTTGAATGGGGCTGTATTCAGGTGACTAGCTTGTGCCACCATAGCCACACTTGTTATTTTTGCACTGTAACTTGGGAAGAGATAGCTAAAGCTCACTGACAATGCTGCCAAGAAAGAGATCTGTAACCAACTTACCTGTTATTGTTCCGACAATTCCGGCAATTGATGCATTCTGAGGGGTCGGTCTGAGGCACTGCTGTATACATTCCACCACCCTGGAAGAAAGGGGAAAGAAATAACCCCCAATCAGTTGCAATACAAGCACGCAAGATGGAGTCTATGATAAATGGACGCAATATACGTTATCCCCCAGGAACTCTCATTTAATTTTGAATCTTAATCACCTTATCAATCTTCAGCTCTGTGTTTTGCAATGTGGCATGGGAATACTGAGCTTCTATTATACAAAGTCTAGAAAGTTTTCTGCCAGCATTTGTGTGAGAGAAAAGTAAATAACTGTAGCTTAGACAAGTATGTAGTAATTTCCCTGGCTTGTTTTCAGTCTAATATGTCCAGGTTTAGTTTAATACACACACTGTAAATATGTTTATTTTTAATGCTGTTGACAGACATGAAAGCAAAATTCATATTCATTAGAGAATGGTGCCCCGTTTGGCAAGATGGGGTGTTAAATAGTCAGGGCTGATGTCACAACATACACCCATCCCACTTTCCTGTAATTACTCCGATTAGATCAGTTTACTTCACTAAACAGATTTTTGAAACATTTTATATTTTTACAGATGGGGTAGTTCCTTTGCCAGAAATGACTCTAGGGTGCGAGGGATTTGGTGGTGTTGGTTTTGGCTGAAGGGGCCTTTTGCAAGTAAGGAAAATGCCCAGATTAACACATACCTCATTGTTAAATACTAGGTGGACACTGATGTGAGTCATTTGAAAAGGGTACTGAATGGTTACAATTCTGCATTTTCTTCAGGGAAGCAAGTTTAGAAGAACCAATTCAACCTCTGAGTTGGAGTTCGATTGGATAACGGCTTCTCTACTATTTCTTATTTCATATGCCTTTGCACCGGTCTGTTCCTACACTTGGCAGGCCTGCGCACTCATGGGCGCGGGACCAGTGGGGCCACTCACATCATGCCTCTCGCCCAGGCTTCTTCATCTCCCAATCAGTGGTGCATTAAGAGGAATGGCAGCAAGAGTGGGGACAAAGTCCCTTTGCTCTGTTCTGTGATTGTGCAAGTGTCAGATGTTCTGTCTAGGAGTGGAGTCAGCTGACGACACCCTTGCTCAACAACGTTCCACAGTATTCCAAGTGGGCAGAGGAAAAGGAAAAGCACTATTAGCAAAATGGTGAAGATCTCATGGGCCTGCTCCACACAGAATAGTGCAGGAAGCTGAAGATCAGCCCCACAAATGTGTGCTGGACCCTAGGTGGTATTACACCATGTATATAAACTTAGGGTAAGCTTTCCTCTGTTATTTCCACTTCTTGTTCTGGAAGAAGGCACTCCAAAATATCAACCAGCGTTTGTAAGGAAGCTTGTCTGTACAGTAACTATCGATCACACAATGCCAGAGGTCTGGAGAAAATCTCTGCTTATTTAAACCAAAATACCAAACCTTTGGAGGATTCCCATTGCTAATTTTGGTTCGATAGCTTTAAAATGTAAGAAATCTTTAGGCCTTGTTTATTCTTTTAGGCAAAGGGATAACTGCACCTTTGGTACCTCAGAGTGGCGCAAAAAGGAAACCATGTGAGGAGATGAATTGTCTATACTCCAATCTAGAGTTCTCTGAAGTGGCAACTACCGTGTAAGTGGCAATTTGCTGTTTAACAGAACAAAGTATTTGTGTTCAATTACTAAAGCAAACAGTCCCATTTCCCCCTTTGGAACCAGCAGTTGTTACATAGACTGAACTTTTCCTTCAGTTTTTCTGGGCAAGGTTCACAATTTTGAGTAGGAGCAGTGATAAAAGTTTAGTAAGTTTGAATGCAACCCATCTGTTTCCACAATAATGAAATCATGATTCTTTCTTGGAAATGGGACAAGTTTCAGCAAATTTAAATAGTTTTCCACTGTACACAATCACACGGCTGGATCACAAACTAAGACCAGTTTTAGTTAGTTCAAGAAATTAGTCTCAAAAGTTGCAAACAAGGGACTCAAAGGCAGATATATTTATGTTGTTGTACTTCAAGAGCAAAGGGAGATTTTTGATGAGACTCCAGTTATGTGCACAGTGGTAAAATTAACAGTGCTGCTTACCAATCACAGATCTGAAATGGGTGTGTGCATGTGTATATATGTGGGGAACAGCTGATTCATGAAGCTGCAAAATCAGCAACCATCACTACTACATCTGACAGGAAGCCTGAGAAATACCCTGTGTACATACACTACAGTATCCCAATCCAGCCTTGCAGGAGTCTCAAAACTCTTGTAGACTAGAAACGGGTAACATCCAGTTATTGGTCCCTCTAATCTGCACAGGAAAGCCCCAAGGATGGCAATGTGAAGAACATCAAGCACCAGCTACTTGCACAGACACAAAGAGCGAGCAAGTGGTTATTAGCTCTAGCACGAGGACTTGAGTATTTCCACAACTCTGACTGGCCTCGCCAGAGCTTACTTTTAAACCTTGAATAAATTCCAGCATGCAGATCAGAAGTAGGTGAAACACTCTTACGTTCACTAAATGGTGGGAATGATCATAGTCCATGTGTGTCCTGGAGAGAGAGTTGGTGTGCCCTGGGTAAAGTCCTGCCCCTCCAGTCAAGCCTCCATTCACAATCCCATTAACTCCACTCGGAACCTTGTGATGAAGGTGTGCACAGCCGTTACTGAGACTACCATTGCTGATGAAATTTCCATGGATGCTGCCATTGATGCGGCTTGTGCCTGGTAAAGTAGCATATTCGACCATTTGCCCAGTGATATCTGCACCTTGGTAGAGGTAACCAGGAGGGTCATACTCTGCAAAGGGAGACCCATGAGGAAAAAATTAGAACACCTTGTTACCATGATTTTTCTAACATTCAGTGTATGATTAAAGACTATTTTATTTCCATGATGCTATTAAAACCCAAGTCGGAAGAGTCTTTCAGAGATAAAGAAGTGACTCATCTACTCCTAGGATTTTTATAGTACCCATAAATGGGGCTCTACTGAATTCACAATCCATTCTGGTCAAGTTCAGAGTCACAAGAATGTTAAAATATGTAGATTTCATTATTTTAGACCTTTACATCTGGAATTTCAGAGTGTTGTAATTGTAACTGTCCTGACCTCACAAGCGGGGGTGGGGGCGGGGGAGGCGGCGTTTACAAGGTTACTGTAGGGATATTGCAGTACAGCCATCCTTAGTTCTGTGCTGCTATTGGCCAGGAGCCCAGCTCTGAAGGCAGAGCCTCTGCTAGCAGCAGCACAGAAATAAGGATGGCATGTGCAGGACTGCCACCCTTGCTTCTGTGCTGCTGCTGGTGGGGAGCTGCCTTCAGAGCTGGGTATCTGGCCAGCAGTCACCACTTTCTGGCCATCCAGCTCTGAAAGCAATGCAGAAGTAAGGGCGGCAATATTGCAACCCCCTCTAAAATAACCTTGCGATCCTCCTATGATTCCCTTTTGAGCAGGACCCCCAGCATGAGAAATGCTGGTTCCCCCCCTCCCCATGGAATCTGTATAGTATAAAAAACCCCACAAACACACAGATTTCATGGCAGAAGACCAGACTTCACAGCCTGTGATGCATTGTTCCTGGCTGTGAATTTGGTAGGGTCTTACCCATAAATTGTAAGATCCAAGTGCTTAATATGCAAATGTTTTCCAGCTCTACAATAACTATGCCCACATACTAATCCTGTTGGCCTGGAAAGAATTTAACAGAAGATGTTGCTCAGTAAAAATAGGATTTTAAAACAGGATCATTTGCATGATCAACAGGCTTGAAACTTATTCTGGTTCTGCTCAGTTTCAAAGGAAGTTTGCATAATTTGGGTTTGGAGTATGGATCATATTTAAACAAACCACAGACTATGCAAATAAAGCTAATTAAAGCAAGAAATGGAAGGAACTATTTAAAATATCATGTAAGACTCCAATTGCTCTGACTATTTGCTGGGACTAGAAGTTGATGCTGTTCGACCTCTCTGGTCCAGCACTCTTGGGACACGACCATCCCGAATGAGGGAGTTTGCCGGCCCAAGGTTGATGAATGTCAGCCTCTGGGCTCTGCCAGGGGGCCACAAATATCCTAGCTGGACTCCCCTCCTCACCGCTGACCCCACTCCTGGCCCCAGCCAGGCTCCAAGCCAGCAGCTCCCCGGCTGCCCCTCTAGCTCCTAGCTGCCAGGGCTCTCTGCTCCAGCAACATCCACAATCCAGCAGAGAGGTTCAACTGTAGTATACAGCACCTTTCAAAAGCTTAAGTATTCCATAGTATTTCAGAGAGTTTCTGCTTATTAACAGCTGCTCCACAGCCTTTAACCAGCACTACAATGAGCCTCAAAAATGTGCCATAAGATAACCCAATCTGTAAAAAGTTAGAGACAGGCAAAAGGAACGCTGGATTTATACTGCTATCTAGGAAAACACTTACGGACATGCTTAAGTCTAAGCATGGGAGTACTGCCATCGAAGTCAAGAGAACACTTAATAGGCTTACAGGTAAATGTGTCTAAACGTGTTGCTGGATCAGAGCCTTCATAACTTATCCAAAGAATGGCACTTTTAACAGTGCAGCAGCACACTGCTGCAATCTGCATGTGTCCCAATCCTCGAATGGGAATCAGTGCACTGAAGCAGAGACCTCATTACTTTCCCCAGTTCTGCTGTCATGCCATGTGTCTCAGGAACACCACACAAGTGGAGAGTTTCTATCACTAACCAAGTACCAGGTTGCTCCTAACAGCAGATGCAGGGTTCTCATTTGCAGTATTGAACGTGCGCTATATTTATTGTCTACTTTTCATTCAGTTGATACATTTTCATATTAAACTTGGCTTAGCAAGACAAAAACCAAGAGTAACTCACTCTGCATGGTGTTTTGCTGGCGATTCTTCCACAGACACATGGCAATGAAAACGATCAGAATGAGGACCATCACTCCAAGGACACAGCCCACAATCAGATATAGCATATCACTGCTCCGAACAGGGCCGTTGGATGGGCCAGTGTTGCCTCCAAGCCCACGGTCAGGGGAATAAGGTGGTGTACTCAGGTCCTTCATTGGATATTCTGAAGCTCCAGGTATGCGTTTCACTGGTTGAAATAGAGGAGACATGGTCTTGAGAACCCAGCGTGGAATAAGGAACCTGCAGAAACATTATTCTAACTATACAGTTATGAAGTTGACATATCTAGCACTGACTTATCTAGCACTGATTTGTAGACAAAACATATTCAGCTCAAGATTTTTACATTAGCTGATGAGGTCAACTATGACTGGACAGTAGCCATGTGCCTTAGAACATGTTTTTATCATCCACCTAGCTATAATCCCATGCACCTAAGCTATGTTATACTTCAATAAGCAATTGAACATAAGCTCTGCTGGAGACCTGAAAGAACTCTTTCCACTTCTGAGGTCAGGAAAAACCACACTGTGCATTTCTGTATCAAACCATTGCCAGATGCCCTACTTCTATCTGACGTGAACCCTGCTAACTTCGTGTTTTCAAAACTGCATTCTTCAGGAAATTAACAAGGATGAAATCTTACAAAATTCCAGGAGTCAATATGACACCTGCACCATTTCAGCAACTATATATTTGCAGGCTACTAAGTAAATATATACTAAATTGTAACCATTCTGTGTTTCCCAAAAACAATGTAAAGAATTAGTTACTGATAACTGATTTTGCAGGACTAATTTTTTCCCAACACTGAGTGTTACAACCAAGATTTTAAATGAGGGTTTGTTCAGAACATTTTTAAACACTGTATTCATAGCATTAGAATGTGTTTTGCAAAAGGTTAGTTCATGCCTAGGGAATCTAATCAAGACCTGTAATCTAACAGAAACCACTCATTATCTAGAGCAGGGGTGGGCAATAATTTGTTATAGTGGGGACTTGACCATTTACCAAAATCTTGGAGGGTAAGTGCCACACTTTTTCATGGAGAGGGTGCTGGATCTGGCTTAGGGGAGTATGTAGGAAGGGGTGCAGGGTTTGGGAGAGAGAGTCATGACTTGCAGGAGGGAGGAAAGGGGGGGGCAGAGAGTTTGGGTGGTGGCCTGGGGCAGGGTTTTGGGGGGGGGAGGAGGATGCCAGAGGCAGACTCTGGCCGGTAGTCACCCCTGAATCATCCAAACATAATTATAGGTGATGGAACCAACTTTTTAAAAGAAATGAAGGTCAAAATGTAATTTACTTATCATGCTTTACATTTAATATTACCTCTCAAATGAGCAAAAGTGCTCCCACTCACCTTTCGTCTCACAAATCATCACGTTGCTGTATTCACTTTCACCTCCCTCATTATAGCACTGCATTTTAATATCATAAGATGTTTCCGGCTGCAGGTGGCTTATCAAATGCCATTGCTTTGTACCTATGAAGAAAAATGGAACTACATTTGTTTTCTTGTTTGATAGGAGATAGGTGAGTGTGTGTGGGGAGGGGGAGAGAAAATCTTTGAGTCAAAAGAAAATATAGATTCTTTTCTATTACTGGGCAAAAGTATAATGCTGGGTTGTCATAGCTTTGCTCGGCAAGCACAGAAAACACTATCTTTAAAATATTATACTTTGTACTTTTAAACAGAGCTGGACACAGAATGATTTTCTGGTGGAAAATACTATTTTGTCAAATTCAAAGCTTTTTGCAGGAATGTCAATTTCAGCAAAATTTTGGTTTTGGCAAAAAGGAAAAACAATTTTAAAGTATAAGTGCTCTGTTTTGACATTTTTATTGGTTTCAAACTTATTTTTTAAAAGTCAACATTGAAACAAAATGTTTTGATTTTGACTTTTTGGCATTTTTGTTTCATGGGAAATTGAGAATTCTTCAGTTCTGCTCTGAATGAAACATTTAAAAACCCTGGAATTTCCTATGAAGCGGAAATTCTGGTTGAGACACAACTCTCATTTGAAAGACAAACTAATCTTTATTTTTTACACTTGGAATTATTCTTTCCATCCTGGAAGATTCCTAAGCACATTCCTGGGTATACGATGGCAAGCTTGTAATCGCTTCATCCTCCATTGCCCAGGGTGGAATGTGCCAGCTGTTTAACATACAGGAGGCCCCCGACTTGCAACGTGATTGGTTCCTGGGGAAGTATTACAAGTCGGGGGCATCCTAACTCAAACCCTCATTTACGACAGGCTCTGTGTGCTGTCGTAAATGCAGGCGGAGGACATAAGTCGGGGGGTTTCGGCCCCTTCCGCTCTTATAAAAATGGTTGTAAGTGCGGGGGAGTTGGAACTCGGGCAGTCGCAAGTTGGGGGCCTCCTGTACAGTGTTCATCAGGGGAGGCAGACAAACAGGAGAAGCTTAGGTAGGCAGAATGTAATGACTCTCTTGTTAGACGTTGGCGAGAGTGCTGAGATATTACCCTGACCCCTTCAAGAGTACCATGGGATCCTCAGTGACTACCAATGTGAGGTTCCAATTACAATCCTAGTCACTCAGTCTTAAAGTCAATATTATGATCTCTATCATCTCAGTTAGCAGAAGCTACAAATAATTCAACTTATACTTTGTGAAATGTGCTGGGTACACTGATAACAGGCCTGTCTCACTCTCCCAGTCTCTTGGGGGCATGGACGCCAATCCCAGCAAGCTTTTCTAACAGAATGATTTTGTTACCACTGGCTGCTAGCCAGCCTTTCATTTAGATACCCTCCTGAAATACAGAGCACTTCAGTATAAATCACTCAGGTTTTATTTTCACAGACTTGTGACAAATTTTAATAAACAGGGACCCTTTTCTGAGAGTTGAATTAACTGTTTGAGCACTTCTAATCCCTCTTGGAAAATGCCACCTTGAACGGTTTCCACTGCTTCTGTCTACCACCTACTGACTTAAGTATTAATTAGAAAAATAAAACCCACTTGGCTGGAAGGGCCGCACCGTCAAGATTCCACTCAAACTCCAGAATTAAAGCTGCCTGCAATTCCCACTGCAGTGTCACTGCAAATAGCCTCCAAGGGACGCTGGGTTTTCACTCTACCACATGAGGCAGGCTCTTTTCAACTGTTGGCTTTCAGAGTAGCTAACCACTCAGTTCACACACACTACAAACAACAGCTTTTATTTAAATATTGGTTAGGTCTGGAATTGGCCTATTCCTCAAGCACATTTTTTCACTTCTGTCTCCTCTTTCTCTCTCCACCCCCAAACATTCCTTTCAGTAATTACTATCCCAGGTTTTAGGTTTCTGCTTCAAACCATTAGTGGAACTGGCATCAGTACAAGCACTTTAACTGTGCTCTCTGTGCACCATTAGGAAGGGAAAACATTTAAACAACTGACGTCAGACTATATGTAGGTGTAAAATTCAATCTCCAAGACAGAAGCAACAGGGAAAATTCAGTACCTATAAGCAGGAAGGGGAAGGTTTAATTTTGCTTTTGCTGAAAGATACAGACACTGGAAAGCCATATGATGCAAACACACAAACATGTTTATAAAACTGCTTGTGGCAACTTTTACAGAAGAAAAATCTTCTATAAGCTTTTGACTGTCTCAGAAGACAAGACTTAGCAGGAAATGTTAATGAAAGCTTAAGGCAACGCGTTAACACAACTGCCAACAGCTTTTCCACTGGTAAGAGTCTTCACAAGATAAAATCCGTGAAAATCAGACACTAAGTCTCATGTAAACTGAAAATAGCTTTCACTATTTTACAGAAATATGGTAAAAAAACCCTATAATGTTTCAAATTGTGCTGCTCGCCTCCTTCTACTGGTTCAGTCCACGTGGTGGAGTGTGGCCAGGGCATTGGGCTGGTGGCAGAAGTCAGAGCAGAGATGTCCCCTTCAGAATCTCAATCTACTGTCACCTCCTCCTATAATCAAACTTGTCTTTCCTCAAGCCCCAACAATCAAGGTTAAATGAAAAACCATGTCTACTCTTTTTCATTGCAAATATACAGTATTTCAGATATGCTATGGGGTAAATAGTCAGGCTAGCCCACAAAAAGCCTATCTAGGATAGCATTTCTATGGGAAAGTACATTCCAAGTTCTAAACAACTGACTTACAAACAAGCTTCTGGAACACAACCCATTTGTAAGTTAGGGGCTTCCTGTATTTGCACTCAGTCTGAGCATATGAGAAGGAAAGCCTTGCACTGAAACAGATCATTTTCAGCCCCAGTACATTTACATGTAGGCTGGTTACTGACTGGATACAGGTACCCGAGCAGTGTGGCAGTACAAGTTAGTCCCCATCCTGTCATGACGGGGATCTTGATCCCAACTGGGGGTGAAGAATGTAAGATAGTCTTCAAAGATGGTGGGAGAAGTAAGTAGGTGGCATCAATGGATATGCACAGGACCTTAAGGTGCATGTGAAAAATGGCCTATGGCCTCCGTTAGGAGTACATGGTGGTGGGAGGAGGAGGAGCTGAGAAATGAGACCTCTGGGGTTCAGGGACAAAGGGATCTGGTGGATGCAGGTAACGGAATGTGCAAAGGAAGTAGCTGGGGGTTCAAGAGGCTCTTTCTGGTGTTTCCTTCGGTGGGCTGGAGTGTAAATCCCCAGTGACTGCAGGGAGGAGGTCAAGTCCTTTAGAGAGCTTACGAACTTGTTTGCCTTTATCTGCTGGAATAAATTTTCGATAATGTTCATTTCCATTACAAAGATAACGTTCGTGTCCATTACAAAGATAGCTTCCCCAATTATCACCTCTAATATCATTATCTCATAAACATTAACCTCCCCCCCTCATGCCCTCTCTGTTCTAAAATCTGATTTGCCTATTTTATGTGCGTGCACTTTTTTTGATTGTATCCCTTTGGTATATACGGTCATGCCAATTTTCTTCCACAATTTGATCTGAGGAAGTGGGTCTGGCCCACAAAAGCTCATCACCTAATAAACCATCTTGTTAGTCTTTAAAGCGCTGCATAGTCCTCTCTTTTGTTTTGGCAGAACTAAGGGTTTATTTATCTTAGAAGACTTGCACCAGAAACACTAAATCTAAAATCCATTGAATTGCACCAGTAAAAATCCCTAATTGCTAGATGCATGTAAACAGATTTAAATCTTATTTTATTTTAGCATATTAGTGGATTAAGATAAATACAGATGCACTTAAAGCAGTTTAGGTCTTGCAATGGCGCAACCAGAACGACTTAAATCAACTAAGTCTGACCGATGGAAGAAACAAGTTCATGCGGTGGCAGGATTTGGTAATAAAAGTTAAGATCTCTACTGCTGGTGAATATATTATTTAGGCTGAATGAGTCTGGATAAAGTAGTTCAGATTTTATGTAAAACACAGCCATTATAGCAACCCAATGGTTTTATCCAACACAACTCTGGCATACTGCTTCTGATAATGCATATATCACATCATACCTTCCACAATATCCCTCTTGTAATCACTATCATTATCACTGTCAGTTGGCCGGTAATAGATATAAAATCCTTGGATGGGAGTATTATTGTTGCTTGATGTAATATACTGTAAAAGAGAATAAAAATAGTAAGTCATTAGACAAATTATTTAAGAATAAAATATTAATTTTTTTACAATGTCATGACAAATTTACTTAATTCAGGAAGCGAACAGAAATATTTGCAGAAAAAGATCTAGAAAAAGTAGAAAAAGCCACTATAGTTCAGATGATATAAGTTTCCATTCTAATCCTCTACTGTCAGTCACCAATTGCTATTGGAAGCTTCCATTTTGGCTGAGAAATTCTGCACGTTGGTCTCTGCACAAAGGTTAATTTCTTAAAGTCTTTGACCTAATAGTTCTGCTGCTTTTTGGTCACAAAATAAAAAATACATACTCTTTCCACAGAGGAGAAAAAAGTATCTTGGGATCTTTTTCTGAACAGCCATACTGCTGAAACAACTGTGGTTTGAAAGTTGAAAACAGGCCTCAGTTAAGTCAGTGTCTTTCAGTGCTTAAGAATAGAGGTGCTGACTTTGATTTCTGGTTTCCTAGAAGGTGCTTGGCCCCCCTACCCTCCCTCTTCCCACTCCACTTCTTTCCACCCCATTCCACACTTTGCCCTGGGCATGCCATGCCCTTGCTTTGGCTCTTCCTACCCCCTGCTCTTCCATTTCTGCCAGCTGCTGAACAGTAGAGCTTCAGAAGGTGGGAGGGGCTGATTGGCAGGGCCTGCTGATAGGGGAGGCACTGGAGGAGGAGAACAGTGGTTGCTGAGGATATGATTTTGAGGCTTAGTTAATTCTTTTTAGTATGTGCATAATGGTGGGTTCTTTTCAAGGACTCGGACTAAAACAGGATTATTCCTGTTTAGGAAAAAATTCCTAACTGTCAGGGTGGTCAAATATTGGAATAAATTGCCAAGGGAGGTGGTGGAATCTCCCTCTCTGGAGATATTTAAGAACAGGTTAGATAGACATCTGTCAGGGATGGTGTAGACAGAGCTTGATCCTGCCTTGAGGGCGGGGGGCTGGACTCGATGACCTCTCGAGGTCCCTTCCAGTCCTATTATTCTATGATTCTATGATTCAATAACGCTTCTGAGCTGTTTGGAGGAGTTAAAGTGAATATTGATTAACAGCAAGGCAGTATCAGATGTACAGCAACAACTCAGATTTCTAGAGTTTAAATTTTACAACATAGGAAAGAACGAGTAACTGATATGGTTCATGGGATGGGGATACACATGAGTCTGTTAAGAATACCACTCAACTGCACAAAGGAAAACAACTACATTTAGGGTTGCCAGGTATCCAATATTGACCCAGACAGTCCAGTATTTTCGCCTCCTGTACGGTAAAAAAAAATTCAGAAAATACCGGACACCTAAAATGTCTGGTATTTTCTGATTTTTGTTTCCCCTGACAGGAGGCGAAAATACCAGACACTTGGCAACCCTACACAAACTCAGCAACTGGGTCCCGCCCCCCCGCTCACCTGGCTCCACTGTGGGGTTGGTCTTCTGGCTCGGAGTAGGAAAACAAGATGTCCGCCAGCAAAACGACTGAAAGGCCTTTCTTAAAGGGGCCATGCAGTTTTTTTAAAAAATGTTTTTGCTTAACTCTGAGGGTCCTCCACCTTCTTCCCCCCCCAACAACTTCGGTCTCCCCCTCTTTTTTCCCCCCCTCACAGAATTTTTTCCCTGGTGTGTTTTTTTGGGGGGGGAGGGGTGTTCAGTATTTTTGGTTAAACCATCTGGCAACCCTAACTATATTGCTAGCTTGATTATGTTGTTCTTGACCCTTCTCTTTAAAAAGATATCCAACTGACAAATCAGTAAGAATTAGTTTACGGGGGAGAGTGAGAGGGGGAGGGAACGACAAAAACCATGTACTCACAGTCCATTTTAACATGATCTGAGTGTCGCTGACTGCCTCAGTGTAGGCAATGTGAGGTCCTGCAATCGGGCGGTTGGAAAAACGGTTGGTAAAGCCAGCGACCTGATAAGGTCGAGATGGTGAGCTTCGTGGACTATCCCCATAATTGTTAACAGCAATCACACGGAATTTGTATGTTGCTCCTTTCAAAGACAAAAGATAAAGTTAGGGAGAAAAGATAAAAATACCCAAGTACTAGAAAAAATGCTCAATTGATTTTTAAAAAAAGCCTGCAGAGATAAGGCACTGTCACAATGGAATTAGTTCTAAATTGATTTCTTGAGATTCAGAAAGAAAATAACTTGCTACCAGTGATATGTCTCTAATGGTTTTTTAGTTAACTGACAGAAAATGCCCTCATGCAATGTTGGAAAACTAGTAAAATAAAAGGGTTGGAAATAAATTTTTAACCTACGAAAATGGCAAGGAAATGCTTTTCCCCCACTGCCATCCCCTAAAAAGTAGGGATTGTCCAATTAAGATTAGGGAAGAGTATTTCACAAGACATGAGGTGTGCATTTCTAGAGATCATGGAAAATGGCACCTATTTCTGAAGTTCCCCTGAACTTCTCTCTCGTCAAAATGACTAGCTGATTTTAGCATATTTGTACTCTTGTTTCCCAGTCTAATACTACTTACTACTCATTGAAAAACTGAATGGCTGAACAAAAGCCCATAGCAATCAGAGTTACACAAACAATTAACAGATACCAATAAAAATCAAACACTGGGTACCAATTATTTCCTTTTTAGAGAGGAAGCCAACTTCAATTAGAGAAAAATTCCTAACCAGAGGGAAACTAACTACAAATAAAATAGGCCTTCTCAATCATGTTTAGCATTCTGTAATGAATCTGTAATTATTTTATCATTTTAAGTGGATGACCAGAAATCAGGAGTATTTCTCATAGAAAGTGGTCATCTAAAAAAAGGCAGTGAAAGAGTCTTACTACCTGGCTCTAAGTTGCGAACTTCCACTGACAGTTTAGAAGGAGAGATATTTTCAGCTGCAATTAGCCAATCACTGTTTCGACTCATACGCTTGTACTCTACTTTAAAGGCAGTGATGGGGGAGCCACCATTTGCACGTGGGATCCAGGTGACATAGACAGAGGTCTCTGAAGCCGTTGAGATAGCAGGGCGATCTGGAGCCTCAGGAACTGAAATGAGAAATTGACGAAGATAGAAGTTAGAAGAGAAACATGGAACTCCAGTCTTTACAGAGCCACCCCTATGATTACTCAATCAAATTAGACCAAATGTTTCAAACATGAAGAATTCTTAAATCTTCCTCTCACAAACTCTCCAACATATAAAATGAAAGGTACTTTCATAAGCTTTTCTTTTATTCTTCAGAATTGGAAGCCATAGTACTAAAGTCTTAAATTGTGTACGAAAACTTAGCTGTGGAGGTGAACGCAGCCACGTCTAACATCAGTGATTGGTCTGATGCAGCGCAATGCAAATTATGGGAGCACAAAACTGTTCTTAAATAATCAACACCACCAGAAAAATAGGGAATGGAATTGAAAGAGACATGCTAAGACACTAAACCCTACTTCTTCCTTAGTACTACAAAGGGAGCACATACAACAGGCTGGTGCAAATAAAAAAAATTGACCTGAAATACCCAGAATCATGAAAAAAGTGGTTCATAAATATTACTAAGCACTAAATTGCTTAAACATTATTTAGAAGAAACAAGAGCAAACCAAGCACATAACAAATGGCATCAGTACTTACTGAACTCACTTGAAGTTACAGACAGCAGTGGAAACAGAGAAAATGGAAAGAGATGGTGTTAGCAATCTGGTTATAACCATTTTAAACAATGAGACATCTCGAGTCTTCACTGCACTGGCTTATACACATTGTTAAACCAGAGTGCCACAGGGGGAAGAAATAAGGAACAGAAAGGAAATACGTTTTCTGGCACTAACTGGATTTTAAATTCTTAAACTCATTTTCAGTCTGTTTGGTTAACATTTTCAAAAGTGCTGAAGGGAGTTAGGAGGCTAAATCCCATTTACAAAACTGACATATGCACTTACGAACCATAACCACTTTTGAAAATTGGATGTGGATGCTTTCAAAAATTTTACCTTTGTGGTCATGTTATGTACCCTCACTTTGACAACATTATTTGCAAACAAGTTCTAGTTACCAAAAGAAGACCAGACACATAGTTAGCAGTAAGATATAGAGGGACATTTTCATTTTAAAAATCACACCTGTTTGAAAATAACTTGTTACAATATCCAATTTGATTATCAGTGAAAAACTATAGAAAAGACATTGACTTTATGCACATGATAACACTTTGTTGTCACCCTCACTGTTTCTCCTGTATAATCAGTTTCTCTTGTTCTTGGGTCTTCAGAAAGTCAGATTGGAAAGAAGACCACAAGCACAGGAAAAAGTCTTAATCAATTATCAAAATTGGCAGTGAAATTAGGGGTCAAGTGTGGCACCAAGCTACTTAACTCATTTTTGGAAACTGAATGCATTTCATTTAAATATTATTTAAATATTATAAATTCACTGACTGGAGAAATTAAGTTGATATCTCAGTTTATAAACTACACTTTTCTGTAAGATATGCAAGTCACAACAAATGACTGGATAAATCTAGATGTCTTAGTTAATACTCCGCCTCATTGACTGGAGTGAAATAACCTTTTAGTTAACACTCTTAAAAGCATGCACAATCTGATCCTTTTCTCTAAAAATGCTGCCATCATAGAAAGTCTGAAGTCACTTATAACTGAGCCTTGCTAACAAATCGTTCACAAGAGAAACAGACCTGCAGCAGAAAGACAGACCTAAAGAATAAAGAGAATAAAAATGGGCATACAACACAGATGTATCAGTTATCAGGGCTTAAAAATTAGCTTAAATGCATCTTATTTTACATTTAACATGAGAATTGGAGACAACCCATGCACCTACCTCCGCTGTGTCGAGATGGGTCTGGAAGGATCACCCCAAAGTTATTTGTCCCTTCCTGAATGACAGGGTGTTTAGGAATGCCAAGCGGGGGAGATGGCGCCTGAGTGTTTTTTGAGGATGATGCTCTTTCTAAAAAAAAGTGTGTTTGATATACGATAAACAGCTCAGTGACCAGAAGAGACCCTGCCGAAAAAACCTGTTCACCTGATTCTTACACTATGCTCTCTTCCCACTGCTTTTATACAAGATAGTAACTTTAACTATGTTGCAATTGGTGCTAAAGTTGGCTCCAATTCCCAGCCAGGCTAGTTGTGCACTAGGGAGGTTCCTTGGGGGCTGAGAGAAAAAAGAATTCTCCATCTGAAT